ACGCTCGAGCGAACCCCTTGTATGTTGTTGATCCGCTCGAGCATGGGAGTTGGAGCTCGAGCATAGATTGTGACCAACCAATACTTTTTCCAAGTTTGCAGGTCGCTCGAGCGAAGGAAGTCACGCTCGAGCGACCCCTCTCATTTTGCATGCCCGTTCGAGCGAGGAAAGCTATGCTTGAGCAGAGACCTCATTTTCAGAAATTTTACCAAGTATTCCAAGGCATGTTTTGGCATCCTCATTGCATGTTAGGCATTCCTAAGACCTAATTAAGCTTTGATAATGAGCTTATGGATTAGAAACACACTAAGAAAAGAGTGTACCAAGTTCTGAGAATGCAAGTGTGTGTGTGTTTTAATTAATGTGCTAAGTATGAACAAGAACCAACGTAATGAAAGTTAAGCTGTGTTGGCCATGTGAACGTGTAATAATGAGATATGTTGTGTTATGTACTTTTGTGATTGTAGGTCAACGTCTGAAGATTGATTAACAGTTTGCGAGAACCACTGTAAGTAACATTTCTGTAAAGATATGTTGATATGAATTATGTTCCAAATGAAATGTGATAAGCTATGATTTCTGAAATGATATCTATTTACGTAAACGAACATACCAAGTTTGAAATCTATTATGGCATCCATAGATAGTCCCAAGTTATGGGGGACGGCATGAAAATGCAGGTCCATGACATACAAGTAATTACGAGATCTCGTTAGCCACTTCATTGTGGTGATATGTATTTAATCGGTATCCGGAACCGGTTACCCTAGTCGGAAGACGTTCTGTAATGTGTTCTATTGGATGTACCATTATTATGTTCTGATATAAGGTTGATTATGCTATGATCTATTTTTTGCTTATGATATGTTCGGATTTCGTTCACTAACCATTTTACCTTAATGTTATTCACTGGGCTTTAGCTCACTGTTTGTATATATATATATATATATTATAGGTGAGCATTCTGGAGTTCGAGCCTGAAGGCTTTTTGTCTGGATCCGTGTTCTGTTGTCAGCCAGCCATTGTGCCTCATGTGGAGGTTCCCAAAGTGTCTTGTGTTCAAGTTCCGTTGTTTCTGTTTATTTAAGACTTGATGTAATTCTGTTGGCTGTACTTCAGATACGCTAATGTGTGTGGGTATAATGTATGATTGACTTTTGACTATGTATATAAAGTTTTAAATATTCTGTTTCATATAAGTCAGCACAGCTCATTGGACAACTATATTTATGTATTTGCTTCCGCTAGCCCCTTATTATATGCTTATCTGTTCAGAGGCCTTCGGTAATCCAAGGATTACTAGCCGGTTACGATGCTAAACCTATAGGGGCGGGTTTGGGTCGTGACATTGTGCAACCTAAGCGAGATAATGATCGGGCCCCACCACAACCCCGAGCACAAAGCAATCCTACCCCCCCGGTCAGAGAGATCAAAGTCATCGCTGGCGGTCTCACATGTAGAGGTCCATCCCGTTCCGCCTAGCGAGCCGAACTCAGAAAAATCAGATAAGGCTCCGACAAAGAAGTCACGACATTGGATCGCCCCCCCCCAAACACCCCAAGCAGTGGACTGAATCCATCACCTTTACGGAGGCTGACTGCACAGGTATCCATTACCCCCACGACGACCCTCTCGTCATCTCTGCTCTCCTATCCAATTACAAAGTCAAACGGATGCTTGTTGACAACGGCAGCTCTTCAGACATCATCTCTCTGAACGCCTATCGCCAACTCAAGGTCGGAGAAGAAAAATTGTCCCATCTCCAAACCTCGCTAGTTGGTTTCACTGGTGATCGGGTGACCTCCATAGGCTTCATCGATCTCCCCATCACCATCGGAGAATATCCTTGGCAGACCACAAAGCTACTCACCTTCCTCGTCGTCGACTGTCCTTCTGCTTATAACATAATCCTCGGATGGACGGTCCTCAGCATTTTCCAAGCAATTACCTCCACATACCATCTAGCCATGAAATTTTCGACCGATCTCGGGGTTGGCACAGTGAGGGGTGAGCAGACGATGGCCAGGGAATGCTTCGTCGCCTCACTAAAGAAAGTCAAGATAAAGGAGACTATGATCATCGCAGGTCTCAACGTCAGAGACGAGGAAGAGTTAGTCAGAAGGGAACCAGTGGAGGAACTTGTCGAAGTACCTATCGATCATACCAACTCAGCTAGAATAGTCAGGATTGGCAGTCAACTATCCTCTCAGGCCAAGGCCGATCTCACAGCTCTCTTAGCCGAGCACAACGATGTCTTTGCCTGGACCCACTTAGATATGCCAGGTATTGATCTCTCTTTCATCACTCATCACCTCAGTATTAAGCCCCATTTCCGACCTTTCCGACAGAAGCAACATATTTTTCACCCGGAACGCAATACCCTTATCGCCTCTGAGATGGACAAACTACTGAAGGCGCAGTTCATCAAGAATGTGGACTATAGCGATCCCGGGTTTTCCCCTTTTATACAGTATTCCAGAATTAGGTTCTGCGGTTGAGTATTGTTGCATTTGTTTCATTTCTGTCCTTTAAATTCCTTATATTTGAATCTTGGGTTGTGTTGGGCAGGTTTGAAACAGGTTGGTTGTGTTTGGAAACCAAGAGTTGATGCCCAGATTTTGGCTTTCATGCTCGAGCGGGGCTTTTGACGTTCGAGTGAGCCCTTTGCTTTTGTTCCTCCGCTCGAGCGGGCATTTTGACGCTCGAGCGTGATTATTCAACCCTCAGTATTTTTCCCTGCAGGTCGTCGGACGCTCAAGCGTCCACTTTCACGCTCGAACGGGGACCTTCGTCTGCAGAACTTCTGGAAGTATGCATTCGACGCTTGAGCGGTGCTTTTCACGCTCGAGCGTGAGTCTGTGTCTGACGCTCGAGCGGGGCGTTCCAGCTCGGGCAGACTGTGTGATATATCAGTCCGAGAAAAGCCATTTTTGGATCACTTTTTGACCTTCTCTCTCTCTAGCTTTTCAAAACGTCATTTGAGAGCTCCTCTCTCTAGAATACACCTTTTCTTTTCGAAATCATCTAGTTTTGGTGATCTTTTACCCTAATCCCTTTGTAAAAAGTGTGGAGCTTGGCATGGGCTACATTTTGATTTGAAAATCTTTGGGTTTGGAGCACCTTCGAATTTCTTCATCTTCTCCATTGAGCTCCGAAATTTGAGGTAGGGATAACCTACTCCATTCTATGAGTTTTAACATAAATTTTAGTCATTTTGATTAGATGGTGTTGTTGGATAATTTCGAGAAAAGTTAGGGTTTGATGTGTAATTTATAAAAGGGGGTTTTCAAATGTTAAACTCCATGTGTATGTGAGACCATGAAAAATGGGATTATTGTTGTTAAATTGATGAAATTGAACCTTAGGGTTGATAATGGAAAAAGGGAAAAAGGGAAAAATGCCCTAATTATGTTGAATAATTAATTTGAATAATTAATTTGGGAAAATGTGAAATTGGGTTGGAAATCATGAAATTGGATGGAATTGTAATTGAATGGTGTGGTTGGATTAATTTATCACCCATTTATGAAATTATTGATTATTTACTTGTTCGTTAAATTTATTATCTGTTTAGAGATAACTGTTTTGGGTTATCGGTGGAGGATAGTCTTGATTGTTGTAGACATTGTATGATGATTAGGGAAAACTGAAACTAATCACATTGAATATGTCATTGAATATGACGGTTGGAATAATACAGCAAATGTGTGTATTGATTGATCATTGTATATGATAATTGTTTAAATACATTGTATATGTATGCTGTTTGTGAGGAGATAGGTGATGTACTTTATGGTTTGAGAGGAGATAGGGGATGGACTCTTAAACCTATTTGGGAGGAGATAAGGGTTGGACTCCACTGGTACATCAAATCTGTGTATCATTTGAAATATGGAAGTGTTGAAGTATGGAAGTGTTTTAATATGTGTTATAGTCTCATTGAATTGTTTGGCTAGGTTTTGAGCCATAATTATGAATCGAAACTGTATAAGTGAAGGAAACTGAAATGAAAAATGGATGTACTTGATATTGAATTGAAAAGTGTTGTAAGTTGGTTTATAAGTGTCAACCATACATCAAATGCTATTATTTTAGTTATTTCTCATACTTGCTTTAGTATATTTCTACTGGGCATTGGCTCACCCTATATGGGACATCATTTTCAGGTTCATGTGATATGCCACCTCGAAGGACATAGCTTGGGAGGCTTAGAGGCTGATGATCCCTTTTTTTTATTTACCTTTTTGTGTATTACATGTGAATTCAAGCCGAGGGCTTAATGTGTATGAGTTAGTACTCTCTTTTTTTTGTAACCAAGTGTTGGCTTGGAAAGTTGTAAGCCCGTAGGGCATTTACTTTTGTTGTCAACATGTAATACTTTTGTGATAAATACTTTGATAAATAGATGTACATTTTATTCTCTTGAATATATTGTCAATTTCTTGTATCATGAATGTATGAATTATGGGTTTATTTTGAGGGCGCTACATGGACTACCCCAGGTGGCTATCCAATGTAGTTTTGGTCCGCAAACACAATGGTAAATGACGTCTTTGCGTCGATTACTTTGTACTCAACCGGGCCTGCCCAAAAGATAGCTATCCTCTCCCCCGGATAGATCTGCTGGTTGATGCAACTGTCAGACATCAGATGCTTAGCTTCATGGATACCTTCTCCGGCTACGATCAAATCCTGATGCACCCGGCCGACCAGGAACACACCTCCGTCATCACTGACAAAGGGACTTATCACTATCGTGTTATGTTGTTTGGCTTGAAAAATGCCGGTGTAACTTACCAACGCCTAGTTAATGCTGTCTTTCAACACCAGATAGGTCGGAACATGGAAGTCCACATCGATGACATGCTAGTCAAGAGTAAACTCTCATCCGACCACTTGACAGACCTGCGAGAGACTTTCAAAACCTCACGCAAATATTAGATGAAACTGAATCCGAAGAATTGCGCCTTCGGCGTAGGATCTGGAAAGTTCTTGGATTTATGGTTAGCCAACGGGGCATTGACGCTAACCTTGAAAAGATTAAGGCCCTGATTGAAATGCGGTCTCCCAGAACGATCAAGGAGGTTCAACAGCTCACGGGCAGAGTCGCCACCCTCAACCGCTTTATCTCCCGGGCAATCGACAAGTGTCTTCCATTTTTCAAAGTCTTCCGACAAGCTTTCGAGTGGAGCACCGAATCCGAGGAGGCTTTTCAACAATTGAAGCAGTGCTTGGCCAACCCTCCCCTTCTCTCTCAAGCACTGCCAGATGAAACCCTCTTCCTCTACTTAGTTGTATCAAACATTGCGGTCAGTGCTGCCCTCATCAGGGAAGACAACTCAGTACAACGTCCAGTTTACTACATTAGCCGCGCTCTCAAGGGGGCCGAACAGAACTACCCTTTGCTAGAAAAAATGGCCCTCACCTTGGTGATCGCCTCCAGATGCCTGCGACCTTATTTCCAAGCCCACTCCATAGTGGTTCTCACTGATCAACCTCTGAGAAAGGTCATGCAACAACCAGAATTGTCAGGCAGACTTATGCAATGGTCCGTCGAGCTCAATCAATTTGAAATCTCTTACCGACCTCGAACAGTGATCAAAGGTTAGGCTGTCGCCGATTTTATTTTGGAATTCACCAATCTCCCACCAAACGTGCCTCTTCCACCAGCACACTTCACCACTGATGTAGAAGACCCTCACTCCTGGACCTTCAGTGTTGATGGTTCATCTCATAAAGGGGATAGTGGGGCCGGTCTAATCCTCACCACCCTAGAGGGTGAATACTTCAAGTGTGCCCTCCGCTTCTTGTTCGACGCAAACAATAATGAGGCCGAATATGAGGCCTTGATAACAGGTCTTCGATTAGCTAGAGACATTGGTGTAAACCATATCCAAGTATTTAGTGATTTCCAATTGATTGTCAGACAGATTACTGAGGAGTTCGACGCAAAGGAAGAGACGATGCGAGCATACAAGGATATTGCCTTTCCTCTTGTCTGCCTCTTCAATACCTTCCAGATCAGACACATCTCTAGGTTAGAAAATTGCAAGGCGGACGAAATGGCTCAATTAGCCTCGGCCGACCAATCAGACCTCAGCTATGGCGTCTGCATTGAATATCTAACCCATCCGACTACTTCGTCAAACCCACAGGAGGTTCACTTCCTCCAGAACGAACCTATCCTATGGGCTCAAGACATCCTTCTGTTTTTGTCACAAGGGGAGTTACCTGACGATAAACAGCAGGCCGCTAAGGTTAGAGCCCGGTTATCCAATTACATCTTCATCGGCGGTCTGCTGTACAAGCGAGGATTCTCACGTCCATATCTCAGATGTCTCAGTCCTGCTCAAGTGATCTATGTGATGAGGGAAATCCACGAGGGCATTTGTGGTAATCATTCGGGTGCAAGGTCTCTGGCCCATAAAATCCTCTGCACCGACTACTTTTGACCTATCCTCAATCAAGAAGCCATCGAATTTGTGCTTAAGTGTGACAAATGCCAGCGCTTTGCCAACATCTCCCATATTCCACCAACAAACCTGATTACACTCAGCAGTCCCTACCTCTTCTCCAAGTGGGGCATTGACTTGGTTGATCCTTTGCCCACTGGTAGGGGCCAAACCAAATTCGTCATGGTTGCCATCGACTACTTCACCAAATGGGTGGAAACCGAACCCCTCGCTACAATCACTAAATGAAACACCATCAGATTCATCTGGCAGTCGATCGTGTGCCGATTTGGAATCCCCTAAGCCATCATTTCAAACAATAGCAAACAATTCGACAATGTCAAGTTCAGGAAATTCTGTGCAGAGCTCCACATTAGACCATGCTTCTCTTCCCCATGTCATCCCCAGGCCAATGGGCAAGTTGAAGTCACCAATCGTTCCCTCTTGAAGATTATCAAGACTAAGTTGGAAGCTGCTAAAGGACTCTGGGCTGAGGAATTACTGAATGTACTCTGGGCTTATCGACCGCCCGAACCCTTACTGGAGAGACCCCTTTTCGCCTAACATACGGTGCGGAGGCAGTCATCCCAGTGGAAATCGGCCTGCCGACCCCTCGGGTTTTGCACCCGAATCCAGAACTAAACGAAGAGTTGCGTCGGGCTGACTTGGACCTGATTGAAGAGTTCCGAGAAACAACTGCTGTCAGACGGGCGTCAATATCAGCAGAAGATGAGAACACATTATAACCATAAAGTTTGACCTTGAGAGTTCGTAGTGAGGGACCTAGTCTTGCGCGAAGCAACCCTTGCAACTAAAAATCTGACCAAGGGCAAACTAGCAGCAAAATAGGAAGGACCTTATATTGTCAAGGGCAGACCCCGCCCGGGGACTTACCGTCTCCAAGATATGGAAAGCAGAGACCTCCCCCATCCGTGGAATGCCGAGCACTTAAAGCGTTATTTCTAGCGATGGCGTCCCTTGTTTTTCTATCATTCAATTGTTGTCTGTTCTCTTTTGCCAATCTACGCACTTGTTCATTTTTGTCTTCTCCATACACGATGTAAATTTTTGGATCCACAGATTATGCCTTAATAACAACAATTTCACATTTCCATTTATTTGTGTTGCGTTTCAATTGCAAGTTTTCAACCGAGCCTCAGCCCGATTGAGCCCTCCAAGCCTCAGCCAGACTGAGCATGAAGAACTCAGCCAGACTGAGTCAACCAAAGCCTCAGCCTGACTGAGCATGAAGAGCTCAGCCAGACTGAGTCAACCTAAGCCTCAGCCCGACTGAGCCCTCAAAGCCTCAGCCAGACTGAGTCAACCTAAGCCTCAGCCAGACTGAGCATGAAGAGCTCAGCCAAACTGAGTCAACCAATGCCTCAGCCCAACTGAGTCCTCCTAGCCTTAGCTAGACTGAGCATGAAGAGCTCAGTCAGACTGAGATCGAAGGACTCGGCCAGACTGAGTCAACACTAGTTTCATCCAGACAAAGTGCGCAGTTATAATTAGCCATAATTAGTCTTAGCCAGACTGGTTTCAATCTCAATTCATGCTTGCCCAGTTTTTACAATTTATGCAAGTCAGGTTGCTTGTCCATTTTTACATTTTGAACTCTACCATTTTGCACTCACAAACTCTACTTGTCCATTTTTACCACTTGAACTTTACCATTCAATAAAATAAAATAAAATAATAACAACAATAACAATAATAGAACTCATTGTTTTATTAACAAACTTGCACTTTTATACAATTCATTATAGAAATTACCTCTACTTCAAAAAAAAAAAAAAAAAAAAAAAAAAAACAAACAAACAAACAACAACAAATTTTTTTTTACACTTCTTTACAGAAATTACATCTCAGTAGGAAGAACGCCCAGCTCTTAATCCCCATCGCTGGACGCGAGATCTTCCTCTTCAACCCCCTTATCCAAGGCGGTCTGGGCAACATCGTCTTCTTCTACTTTCACGAGACTGAAGTCCACGTCTGGGAACAACTCTTGCGCTTTATACTTGAAGCTCATCCAGCCGCTATCCCAGTACTAGCTCATCTCGCGCTTGTAGAAGTCTGACCGCTGAAAGCTTTGGATCACTTCTTTTTCGCTCCTCCCTTCAGCGGCTACTCCCGACGGCCCATCACCCCCTTCCACCTCCTTCGCCAAGCTTCGAGTGACTGCAGCGTCAATGGCCATTTGGAATTTGGCGGACCCTTTAAATTGCTCCACAGCCGCCATGCATAAGTCGGGGTACGCCGCCCTCTCAGAGGCCATTTTGGCCCTCTCTTCTGCTAGTGACTTTTCCAAATCTGCAATTCGCCCATCTGCTTCTTCTTTGTCCTTAATCGCCTAGTCACGCAGATCTTCGTTATTGGCAAGGGCCTCTTCCAACCTTTCCTTGGCGGTGGTGTAGGCTTCTTGGACTATGCCTAGCTTCTTCTGCTCACCTGCCAACTCAAACTCCAGCGATACCGCCTTATGGCACACCGCTTCCAGCTCTGCTTTGGTTACAACGAGCTCGGCAGTAGCACTCTCTGCCACGAAGCTCTATACCACCGCTAGTACTTCCATCTTCTTTGCCTTCTGCGCATACTCTAGCCGCTTGGCACACGTACTTCGTACGGCTTTCCTCTAGCCTGCTGTCTCAACCCTCAGGTTTTGCAGCTACGCTTTCACCCTTTCCAACTGGGCCTTCAGCGGTTCTACCTTCACCTTCGTGCGCGCTGCCTTATTCAGCAGGGCAGCCACCAAGGTAGTTGCCTCCATTTGCGCCGAGCAAAACCCTCTCAGGAGGTCGGCCTCTGAAAATCGCGCCATTGACCACACGGCCGCATCCTCCACTATCCCAACGAGATGGTCGGCTGCGACCCTAGCTTCCCCCCTTCTTCTGCCGATCGACTGGCCACCGCGCGCACGTGATACATGGCGGCCTTCAACGTGGCACCCATCTTTGGTTTGCTCACCTCAACTTTTCCTTCCCCAGGACTTGCGGCCATTTCTGACACAGGCCCCATCTTGAGTGATTACAGCCCCAATCTCTCATCTACTGCCACCTGCTCTAGCTCCATCGTGCCCATTCCCACATGGACATTTGGGCCCATCGCTTCTTCTCCCCTCACCCTTGTTTCCCCCATCTCTACTTTTGGGGTTTCTTCCGCCCTCCCCTCCTTCACCCTCTTCAAAACTGGGCCACCCTCACTCTCTTCTGCAGCCGTCCTCTTTTTCTTCTTCTTCTTCAACACTACCTCCACCTTCTGTTTTCTCTTCACCTTCAGCGGATCCACTGGAGATGGCAGTGGCTTGAAATCAATTAGATCTTTACCTCCCAACTGCTTGGGATGTGGTCAGGCTCGCTCCCTCATGACCAGCTTAGGTGCAGGGCCTAACTGCGATTCCTTATACTTGTCCGCCTTGGCAAAAGTTTTCCGCTCTTTCGCCTCTTGTACCTTTCTCAGAGCCTCCAACTCCTCCAGTGTAGGATCCTCCTCGGTCGGCTACAACCCCAAACTCAAGGTGAACAAGGTCGAAGGTTAGATAAGGTCATCTCACTTCACTCTCTCCTTTTTCCTCTACTCTTTCACCCGTTTCACCCTATTCTCGGCTTCTGCCTCCAGCCTTGGCTCCACCGACGTCGTGGGAACTTTTTATGTTGTACTCACCCCCTCCTCCCATTTGCTGATACATAAAACCACCTCGGTCTCCACCTTTTCACTGACGATGGTAACTCCACCACTAACCCTTTGCTCGCCAAATCCTGCAAGGTCATCCATGTTTCTTGTTGACTGGAGGCCTTGTAGCATGAAAAGAACTCCTCCACTATCATCGCTTCTCCTCCGGTCACCTGTGGTCATGTGATCACACAGGCCAGTAATATTTTCCATGCGTTGGGCATCAGCTGTCCCGGCGCCACCTCCAAACGGTTAAACACGTCCACCACTATTTGTGGGAGCGACAACTTTAGACCCCCCCGCAATGCTTCGTCGTATAGCGTAAACTCCATCGGACGTGCATCCGATGCTTTCTTCTTCGACGTGGGCAACCTCAACTCTATCTCCGCTGGGATCTGGTACTTCCTACGCACCTCCTCTAACTCCTCTGTTGTAAACGTCGACTTGTTGGCCTTGGTGTGCCAGTGGTCAGGTTCCACTTGGCTAATCGGCCTTGCGGCCACGATCATGGTAATTGGTCGGGCTCGGGTCGTTTGCTCCGCCTCCCTTTCCTTCTGCCTTTTCGTCCTGTATTACTCCGCCAACTCCACCGCATCGTCTTCTCCCAATGCTTCTAGCCTCGTGGCTGGCGCTTTGTCTCGAGCCATCCCTTCTGCGTTTCTGTGCATTACTTCGGCTACCGGCGTGAGGAAGTTCCTAAAGTGTTGGAGGGGCGTGTCACTCGAAACAAATGAGCTCAACTCTGGGATGCGTTCGTTTTTTGCAAAGAGGTATGTAAAACGAATAACTCCAAATGCTCACGGTTTGTCTATATTCCAAGGATCAAGATTAGATTTCGCCAGTTTGAAAATTTCGAAAGTTTCCACCCCCGCCTTTTCCACATCCTTTCCTGTTTCTAACCCTTATTTCCTACTAACGCCTTATCTCCCTCATCACTGGATCATGCCACGTGTACCACCACGATTCACTACCCTTTTCCCCTTCCCTCTCTATTCCACTTCATATCATCACGTGTCTTGTCGCTCCTCGAACCCCACACGCCGCTACTATTTCTCGCTCGGACCCCCTTTCGCGGTCGGCTCTTCTCTCAGTTGGTCTTCTCGCTCGGACCCCCTTTTCGTGATCGGCTCTTTTCTCGGTCGGTCTTCTCGCTTGGACCCCTTTTCGCGGTCAGCCCTCCGACCACTCGGCTCCACATCCTCCCCGTCTGACTTCTTATTCCCTTCGTTGGACTGAAACTGCACTTGGGAACGGGGGACTACTGACATCGGTGGGCCCACAGAAGCTTTTGGCCCACCACTTAGGGCCCAATTCACGGTTTAAACATTAAA